CCAGGTAACCTCGGGTGCATGGGGGTGGGGTGGGAGGGTTGTTGGAAAAGGAGAGGGTTAGAGAGAAGGGAGTAGGGGAGGAATGGAGAAAGCTCGGTTGACCGGGATGGGGGGAAGGGAGGAAGGATGAATATGGGGTCAGGGAAGAATATATTTCAACTAAGGGAGTCATTTTAGGGTTTACAGGAAACTTGATTATATATGGGATCCCAGGTCCAAGGAGAGATCCCCAGATTGTTCTCTGGACAGAGGAGAGGGTGCCTGAACCGGCCTTGGCCCATAACCATACTGATGAATATTTTGCTTATCACCATAGATCCTTCATCTGGCGTTGGATGGCGATACAGACGGAGACCCACATTGGAGCATCGGACTGAGCCCCCCAAGATCCAAATGAGGAGCTGAAGGACGAAGAAAATGACGAAGGACTGCGAGGGATGCTATCACCCACCGATACAAGGGGTCGGATCTAATGAGAGTTTACCAAGGCCAGTTGGACTGCGACTGAACGAGCACGTGATCCAACCAGATTCTCTGAATGTGGCCAGATTCTCTGAATGTGGCTGGCCTGGAGTCTTTCTGAGAAGCCATTGACAATGACACTGGGACTAGTTTCCTCTGCATATACTGGATTTTTGGGATCCAGTCTGTTTGGATACTCACCTTCCTGAACCTGGAGGGAGGGGGGAGGAACTTGAACTTCCCACAGGACAGGAAACCCTGACTGCCCTTAGGGACAAAGAGGGAGGAGGAGAGGGAGGGGGGAGTGGGAGGGTGTTGGGAAGAGGGGCATAAATGGAAACTTTTATAATTTAATAAAATTACTTTCAAAAAAAAAAGAAAGGGCGAATTTAAATGCCAAGATTCTGGAGTAATGATACTCACGTCCACAGCCATGTCTATCAAACCTACAATGACAATGCCATTTATATGCACTCTTAGCTTTGGTCTTTGATCAATTATAGAAGTATGCCAGAATATATCTTTCTTATTACCTATTGGAATTTTTTATTTATTCTCCATCTTTATTTTGGTAGATATTAGGATAGCTCTTGTTTCTTAGATTCATTTGATTGAAAATATTTTCCCAACCATTTACTCTGTGGTAGTATCTGTTTTTGAGGTTAAGGTGTGTTTCTTGTATACAGCAGAAGGCTGGATTTTGTGTTTATATCCATTCTCTTAGACTGTGTCTTTTATAGGTAAATTTAGTCCATTGATATTAAGAGTTATTAATGACCAGTGGTGTTAATTTCTGTTATTTTTCAGTAGTAGTGTTTTTGTGTTTCCCTCCTTTGGGTTTGACTGGTGGGAGTTATCTGTTGTCTGTGTATTTGTGAGTGCAGTTAACTTCCTTGGGTTGGTGTTTTCCTTCTAGTACTTTCTTTAGGGTTGGGTTTGTGGATACATATTTTTTAAATCTGGTTTTGTCAGGGGATATCTTATTTAATCAATTGATGGTGATTGAAAACTTTGCTGGGTATAGTAGTCTGGGCTTGCATTGTGTTCTCTTAGTTTCTGTAGCACATCTATCCAAGACCTTCCAGTTTTCATGGTTTCATTTGAGAAGTCAGGTGTGATTCTGATTGGTTTAACTTTATATATTAATTTACCTTTTTTCCTTTGCAGCTCTTAATAGTCTTTCTTTATTCTGTATTCTTTATTATTTATTTTGTGTTTTGATCATTATATGCCAAGGGGACTCAAGAAGCCCCTGAGATCCCCCTAAGCCTGCTGTCTTGGTCTTCTCTTAATGGTTCACTATCTTGGTCCTCTCTTAGTTCCTTCAGCGTTGAAGCAAGCTCTAGGTCCCCTCAGTATTTTAGCAAGCTTTAAGGCCCATCAATAATAGAGTAAGTTATGTTTCAGTGTTCCTATGAGGTTACAGGAGGATAGGCAATATTTGGGATTGGGTGGGGCTAGTAGCTTGAGGATCGAGAGGATGGGTTTGGTAAATGGGGGAGCCTACCTACAGCAAACCATCATGCTGGCAGGTAAGAAAAGTTGAGGGAGTTGGAAGAGGGGCCCAGGGTTTTGTCCCACTGTGAAGGTTTTAAAGATTAGAGCGCCCAGCAGTGTGGCTGTTCACTCACCTCTTAAGTACCCTCAGTATTCTTGTATGCCTTTTTTTATAGGTTTGTAAGTATTTTCTAATAGAAATTGAATTCAAGACTAATCAAATATCAATTTCTTGGGAATCTTGGGAGAGAAGAAGACCACCTATATTAGGTGATTTGTGCTCATTCTGGTTAGTCATCTTAGTATCCATTGCAACAACCTTAATGTCTTGATTCTTTTTCAGAGATTTGCTTAGACTCAAGTAAAAGAAGACCTGATCCCCTATTTTCTGTCCCTTTGCACATATCTTCTCTGTTGTGTAATTGAATTCAAGTCTCTTCTTGTCCTTTATAATCTTTGAGTTATGGACTTTACAATGGCAACAAATATTGCATGATCTACATATGCATATGTGAATCCTCTGTAACCACTTTTATCCCACGACTTTACATATCATGAGACAGTGGCCACTAAACATGGCCTAGTGAGACATTTTTATTGAGCTAGTAATGAGCAAGTATAAGCGAAAAATGCAAGGAAGCATTTACAGTGAAAAGAAGAAAAAAATGGAACAGCTACTGAAGTCTAGCAGCCTCGCTCATCTAGTATGAACCTTGATGCAGGTCATCTGAGATAATAAATCACTGAAGGCAAGATCATCCAGAAAAGTGATGACAGACTGCCATAGAGGTACACAGTCTCCATAGAACTGCTTGACTGAAGCTCAGATTCTATGGCAGCTGGTAATTTTCTGAATCAATATAGATAAAAAAAAAACAGAATTATCTGGGTAGAAGTGAACAGAGGTAGTTAACCAGTGTTGGTTACAACAAAGACTAAATTTTGCTTCCATCACTGTTAGAAGGGTCTGTAAATGATGCAGATAAGACAAGATCCCCAAACCTCTGCCTAGAACAATGACTGCCTGAATCAACAGTGTCTACTGATCTACAACACAATGTCATTCATCTACCATAAGTCATTTCTATCTCAGAGACTTAGAAGATTTCTAATATTTTTGTCAAAATACCCCTTTAAAGTGCAGCTTATGATTCATGTATGGGTCTCAGAGGCTAGGAGAGGAAAATAGACTCAGTACACTGCACAACCTGTACCTCGGCACTAGTGATAATAATAACGAATCTGGTACATGAGGTATAGAAAGCCTTGAAACAGAATAGCAGAAAAAGACACCATAGTAAGGAAATGCAACACTCTGAAGAGCCATTGCATCTCAAGAGATCTTCTGTCATGGAAAGTCTGGCACTAAGTACTATGGGTGGTGTGGGAGGTTCTTCTGTCTATGTATTGTTTTTATTGGTTAATGAATAAAGAACTTCTCTGAGCCTATGTCATGGGCAGAGCAGAACTATGCAGGAAAAGTTAGGCTGTATGATTGGAGAAAGAAGGTGGAGTCAGGGAGCCGCCATGGAGCTGCCTTCAGAGTCAGACATGGGTAACTTTGCCGGTAAGCCACTGCATGTGGAGATACACAGCTTAATAGGAATGAGTTAAATTAATATGTAAGTGTTAGTCAGTAAGAAGCTAGAGCTAATGAGCCAAGCAGTCATTTAATTAGTACAATTTCTGTGTGATTATTCTGTGTCTAAGCAAGCTGGGCATCTAGGAGCCAACTAGCAGCCTCCTTCAACAATTCAGTGTACCAACATGATGGACTAAATCCATGTAAAACCTAAAAAGCTTGAAAAGGAACTCTAGACACCGAAAAACAAAATTAAGCCAAAGTTTTCTGGCTGGTGGCATGTTGAAGTTCCCTTAAGGGAGATTTTCCTGATTCACTGGGGGCAGAAAAAAGAACTGCATCTTTTTTAAAAGGCAGCTTCCTGGGCCATGCTGCCAGCACAAACTCTAGCTATGGAGCATTTGAATAACATTTGTAATGAGAGGTAACCTTCACTTCAAGGTATTCTGGATAGGAATTCTGCTTGGGATTGTACAGAACTATTCCAATCACCTCCTAAGGCTGTCTTTACCAGTCCAACAGGCAACACCACAAAGCATTCAGGGTTGTTGTCTGAGTACCCAATTACAATTTTAATGCAAGGAGCAATCAAAAATTATAATGTAGGCATATATAGCTGTGCCCCAGGGCTATATGTGCTAATTATACTCTAAATATGTATTAACAAATAACCAGGTTCTTCTCAAACATATATTTTCACTTCTATAATACTCATGTATCACATATGTGATTATTAACGAATCAATCCCACACCAGTTATGTTTTAAGGGGTTATTTATTTGGCGGGGGGTAAAACTTACATACACCATAAACCGTCAGGAAGGGAGCCTAGTCGCTGGAGCAGGAGCCGGGAGCAACAGCCGAGACCGAGCACCTGAACCAAGAGCCGGAACCAAGAGAGCCTATTCCGGATATGCTTCTCTTTTTAAAAGAGAAATATACCACACCCCAGTGGGCTGGTATTTCAGCAGCTATTGGCTGACGGAGCGGAAGTCGCTCCCCGCTGCACTGTGGGCTCGTATTTCAGCGACTATTGGTTGAGGCAGCGGAAGTTACTCCCACAACATGTGATTTTCCAAGTTTGCACTCACAGGCACAAACACATTTCCATAGTTCAGTATGCATACATGCACACTTTCATGTTTTCACAAACTTTAACATTTTTCTGGACATAATTTCATATACATTTTCATAAGCTAATATGCTTATAACACTTTGGAGCACACAAAAAATCTTGGATATTTGCCATGTCCCTGTCTCATGTAGATTAGCCTGCTTTTTTAATGTACAGTTTATCAAATAAACGTGGGAGTCTAGGATTACAAGAAAGAGGAAGACCCTTCTAGTCAAAACCTATAGAGAGAATATGATTATTTACATTCAAGAGTAGCCTGATATTTACTTGAAACTCTTTTATATTGCAATATAAAATATTTGCAATATTTTATTTTATTTTATTGCAAATAAAATATTTGCAATATTTTATATTGCAAAGTCTTTGGGTTTAGTGAGGATTCAAAGATTCCTGCATTCCTGCGCTGACACCAATATCAGTCACACAACATCCAAGCCACCCTCTAAAGGTGGATAACTGCAGCTAGTATTTGTATCTTGTTTAATTCTGGACAAGTCTCACAAGTGTAATATGTTACTGCTAAGTAAAACAGGAATCATAATGTAGAATTTTCTTCATACTTTGTTGTAAATAGGAGCGCCACTCTGTAGTAAAATGGAGCGGTGGGCTGTGTTCCCACCACCCGGCTCATGGCTAGCTTTATCCAAAATAATTACATGGAAACTGTTTTCTTTTCAACACTGCCTGGTCCATTAGTTATAGCCTCTTATTGGCTAACTCTCACATCTTGATTAACCCATTTCTAATAATCTGTGTACCACCACAAAGTGGCGGCTTACTGGGAAAATTCTAACCACCGTCCATCTTAGGTAGGAGAAGCATGGCATCTGCCTGACTCTGCTTCTTTCTCCCAGCATCCTGTTCTGTCTCCACCACCCACCTATGTTCTGACCTAACAGGCCAAGCAGTTTCTTTATTAATTAACCAATAAAAGCAACAGATAGACAGAAGACCCTCTTACATCATTTCTCCTTTTTCTGTTTAAACAAAAAAGAAAGGCTTTCACTTTAACATAGTAAAATTACATATAACGAAACAGTTATCAAGCAGGAATTACAGTTACAATATTTATATCTACTTTATCTTTTTTCATAACTAAAGAAAACAATAACTATCTATCAATTCTTCAACTATATCAAAGACTTCAGAAGGATATAATATTACCTAAGTAAACAAGAAATAAGCAACTTCCAAACTCTAGAAATGACAGAGACATCTCACTGTCTGGACAGTCACCCAAAGTTCTTTTGTACCATTGGGGCATCCATCTTCGGCCTTCAGGCCCATAGGATCCAAAGACATTTCTATGAAGCAGGAAATTTCAAAGACAGTTCAGTCGCTATCTGCTGTGTCCTGCAGAATGTCTCGCAGACTCTTTTATGAATCAGGAACCCCGAAGAATCATCTCACTCTTTAGGCAAGTTCAGCAGTCCTCTCTCTGTGGGTTCTTTATGTCCAGTTTATGCAACAGTCCAGGCAAGAACAGTTTCTTGCCCAAATGGCTATCAAACTCCATAAGGAGCCTCTTCAATGCCCATCTTTCTCTTGAAGTAGATTGGTGCTGCCAGGAGCATATGTATCTCATTGTCATGAAAAATCCTACGTTATTAAAACATTAAATGCCATATTCTGTAGTCTTAGAAAGATATGAAGAATGCCTATCCAACTGAAATATATCTCTACATATCTAGAAAATCTAACTAACATGACTACAAGCTTGACTATTATTGATGATTATCCATTAACAACCTATATTTCCTAATTATACATTACATTTTTAAATGAAATACACAATCACAACAAAGATCAGAAATACACATACGTATAATAAAATTGACCTAAAATCCATACCAATGCAAATTATTCATATCTACATCATATCCCCCTTTAAATGTAAAAGAACACTTATAAACAATACCTGGGAATATGGACGTAGTTATTTCTCTCTAAACTTCTTCCTGCTGTATAGGGCCACTGTTAATCGGATCTTTCATGATAACCTGTGTGCTAGGTTCACCTCAGTTGGCAGTTGAATGAAGTAATTGTTTTAGGGTGTTCACGACAACCTTTCAGAAGGATGTGGTCTATCATGCCATATTGGGATAGAAGCAATCCACAGGATCTCATCCTCTGTGAAAACAAAAGAAGAACCTCCTTTCCAAAGCATCATATTCTTAGACCCAAATTCTGAAGTCATTATACCCTTATGATATCCATTCTGGTTTAGCTTGGCAGCCAATATAATGAAATGTCTCTCTGTACTTAGCTCCTTCACAGTCAAAAATTTTAAAGAAAACACAATGTACATAATCCAGACTCTCTGTGAATTTTCCATTTTTACGTGGCTTATTTTTATTAATTTATTTTTAATCTCTAACTATCTGTACTCTGTCTCTTTAAAGACTTTACCCTTTTTTAAGACATTAACTTTATTCTCTATACTCCTCACCTTCTCTCTCCCAAGCCTATGTACACTCATTCAACACTGTGACCCATTTAGAGGTCTTTTATGTCTGAATCTGTCCTATTGTGAATCTGTAATTTTTTTACTGTCCAGGAACATTTTTGATTTGCGCCTTTAAATCGCTAAATGCTTGAGAATCTAAGCTGTGACATTCCTAGGTCAAAAACAGGTACTGCCTGCTTGCCACGCCCAGTCCAATATGGCAGAGCTGCTTGTGCCTCTGAGCTGCAGAGCCAGGGGCGGCTCTGGATATTGGCTCCACCTCTCTCCAGTTTCAAAATGGTGAACGTACCATTTCTGTTAGCTCTGGGGCAATTAGGTAGGAACCACAGTCAGCAGCTTAACTCTGAGCCTGAGCGTGCAGCACAGAAACTCTTTTCATCCAAGTTACTTCCAAATCTGACACGCAGAGCACTGCACAGCCTGGAAATATCTCTATGTATGGCAGCAGAAATCCGCCATGCTCTCCCGCCTGCCTAAGCCTGATTTCACCTCTGCCCAGGTGCAGGCGAAGAGCACTGAGTCATTGGCATGGTCTCAGAGTACTTTCTTCCCGATCCCAAGCAGGCCCACAAACATCCGAGCCCAGAAATGCTCCATAGCTGGAGTTTGCACCGGCAGCAGGGCCTAGGAAGCCATGTTTTAAAGCGGCTTTTCTTTTGCCACTATTGCTGAAACAATAAATCTCTCTACGGCATGTCCTAGCAAACAGCAAAAAGCTGTGTTAAACTCTATATTTGTGTATAGAATTCCTTTTAAAGCCCTCTTAGGTTTTATGTGGAGTTAGTTACCACGTTGGGTAGCCATTTAATTGCAAAGAGGAGGTAATTCCCAGGAGGATGGAGGAAAAAGACAATTTTTTGTTCAGTAATGCAACACTGCTCTGAACACACACAATGTTTTAAAGCTTTAGGACATTATTAGCTTTAAGCTGCAACACTTTGGTCAGGACGAAGCAATCCTGTTACACTGACAGATAATGTGGGAACTCATGAAAAAAATATGTCTTTGGATACCATTCATGACAAATAATCTTTTCCTTAATTTTATTCTTTGAAAATGCTCTTTAGTATTATCCACATATAATAACCAATTCCTTCCTAAATAAAAGTTTCATCAGCTCATTTTAGTGCCTTCTGTCTCAAGATAAATAGAGACTTGAGATATAAAAGAGATTACTATAGGTCACATACATATGTGTACATCAATGCAAGTTTTCCTGTCATTTTAATATTCATAACTCAAAGATGATATAGAACAGGAAATGACTGAAAATCAGTTTTACAGGCACAGTGGTCCTTAGCACATGGACAGAAAAAATGAAAGCGAAGATGATGCCTATGAACCCTTGCTTCTCTTCTTAAAATGTACTAGATATTAAACAATGAAGGTTAATGATGTTCAACTGATGGAGGTGACACATTCTCCTTAGACTCCCATGTAATTTATTTGTGATATGTCCTGAATTCTATTTCTATCAGAAAAACTTTAAGAACATGTAAGAAGCAGAGACTGATAGTGTGTGCTTGTTTTGTACATGTTCATATACATTTGTTACTCATTAGTAAAACAACAACTAGATTCCAACAAAGGATGACAAAAATACAGAGCCATACACATATGAACTTGGCCGACGTGGCTTTATGAGAGAAAGAGAAGTCAGGGTGATCACAGCCTTTCTCTGCTCTAGTGTATGTTAAATGTTCAAGATGTATACAGATAACTAATGGATTCTCACAATGACGACCAAGGCCAGAAGCATTGAACACTTCTGGACACTTCAAGTCAGTCAATTGCTTGATTTGGATACCAGCACCTGAACTCAATTCTTTTGGAAAATCATCAAGTGCTCATAATCACTGAGCCACCTCTACATTTCTATTGTTTTTTTTTTCATGTCTGATTCATGTCAGATGAAATACACACCAATCTTTGGAAAGATGGTCCTGAGCTCTCTTTTTAAAATGCTACCTGAGCAACACAAAGAATAAGCCAGCAAGGAACCTTCAAATCACTTCCTTTACAGAGTGTAATAACTCAGAGTGTAATAACTCTGTTATTACTGAGTGTAATAACTCAGAGTGTAATGATTCATGGAAAGAAAACAACCTGACACTGCCCACATTGAAGGTTATATCTGAAATATTCCCAAGGGAAAGTTCCCCTGAGAAAGGCAGGACTGAAAGTCCCGGGATTCACTGAAATGCTGTCTTTTCATGGGTAATACTGAATTGTGACTCCTGATGAATCTGCACTTATAGGACCACAAACAGAAAGATCTTCAGGGACCCTTAGATTTCACCTAGAAATTTGGAGATCTTTGTAGGCTAGAGACCAGTAATACCCTGAGTACACAGAATGTCTAACTCAGGAGAGCACTGAAGCTGATGGACAGTGTCTCTATAGAAAGCTGGTATTAAGTGATAGACTACAGTTGTGAGAGACTGAGAATTAGAGGTAATACAGAGGTGATGAAGTGTTGGGGAACATGCTACTGCTGTAGACCAGGAAGGAAATGAAGAGAGGAGCCAGATCTGAGCTACAGTTGAGGCAGTATGAAAACAGCTAAAATAAAGGGGAAAGGAACAGGAAAAGGCGGGGTCAGTGTGAAAGAGCATTGGGTACTGGCAAGGAGCCTATGAAGGAAAAGAGTTCCCCATAAAAGGGAAGATCACTTCCAGGCTGTACTCACTGTTCTCTCCAGGCTCACATCGGCAAGAAATCAAGCTTGGATATAATTCCAAGTCTACAAAAATCATGACTGGTATACTCCATGCTCCTCTGCTTATGATGACCACTATCACGGTGGCTCTGAACCTGAGCCTGAGCCCTATGTTGGTTCATACTCTGCAGAATAACACAGAAAAATTCAGTGTACAGAAGATTGGGGCCCCAGAGGCACTGCGATATGCCGTCCGCAAGTACAATGAAAACAGCGATGAATTGTATCTGGATGTTGTTGTGCAAGAGAAAGATATAAAAGTCCAGGTATGTGACCTTGAAGTGAAGGAGCCTGAATTTGTAACTTAGAGGGCCATAAATGATTTCTTAGTCCAGCATTGATTTATTCCTGTTGCTCCACTCATGAATGTAGTTCACTGTGATTTGCCACCAGTAATCTGAGGTGGACATCACAGCAGTATCCATAGGCCACTGTATCACATTAAGCTTTGTTCTAAGATTTGCTGCTTTCTGGAAGCTCCTATAGATCGAGTTTCCCCAAGTCAAATAGCCTCTATTAGTCTGTTTTAAACCTTGGAGACATGCTGCAGGTAGGGGCATGTGTGTTCCTTACTAAATTTCCCAGGCACACCCTGAAAGAGTCTACAAGTCAGAGTCCTCTTATAGGATAAACACCCTGCCATCAACATCCAAGAACCTGGAGTCAGCGTCAACATATAATTAAATGATCATAAAATAGACAATTTTTTATCACAACTCTATTCCATAAATGATTGTTTTTCATGTCTTTCATTTAATTATTATTCTGTCTATGGGGAATACTAAGAGCAATCAAATCGGTAGCCAGAGACTTTCTGTCAATCCATCACTACACTTCAACATTGCATTTTGCTGGGTTGACATCAGCATCTTTGTTCTCTCAAGGTCATGCATATATAGGAGACATTTTAGTGTCATTTCTTCCCAGAATTTTTTATTTCACCTTTTAAAAATTACCTTTTAATGCATTCTTTGTATCTTTCACATGAAGCATCTGGATACCACTTATTTCCCAGTCTCCTTCCATCTCCCTTCTTCTGATGCAGCTCTAATTCTCCAGATAAAGGAAGGTTAGATCTAACGGGTCATTTACATTTTTAAATATTTTACCTGAGAAATATAAAAGTGATTATTAAGAAAACCATCCTGAATGTTTTTGTGTGGACTTTTCCAGAGTTGATTGGATCAAGAGGAGATTGCTGTGACCTAATCAATAGATTAGTCTTAAACATGTTGTCATTAACAAGTATCAATGAGTGGTCAGTGAAGGGGCCTACTTGACCAAAGAGATCATTAGAGACATGTTTTTCTCACCATATATTCTTTGGACCCTTCTTCTATGCCCTATTCTCTGTTGCCTGCCACCTGTAAGCCCCATGTTTCTCACAGACTTTTCTTACCATGACTGACTAGCATCTCTGTAATTCTGAACAATATATAAAAACAAATTGCCTCAAGAGTTCCTTCATTCAGATATTTTGTGACTGTGTAGTAAACTACAAGAGAATCTTAGAGAAGTTCACTCCTTTAGGGATGTGAGTCCAATTTCAGTCAAGTGAAACCTAATACTAGAGGAAGCATAAGATTCACCTGTGTTCAAAGTGTTCTAAAATCCTCATCTGCTAACATATCACGTTTACTTCTGCACAGTTCTGTCATATTGTGTCTAAGATTCTCTGTAGAAAAAATGTGCTAAATTTCTTTAATTAAAAATGTAAGACACATTGGAGAGTTTCGCAGTAAAAGATATTTCTATTAACAGTCACACTGAAGTTGTTGACAATAGAGGATCATTATTTTAGTTATTGAACCATTCTTTTAGTCAAGCATCCCTTGTCCTCCTGTCCACATAGGGATGGACCTGGATCAAAGGTAGGAAATGATCATTTGTTTTGAATGTGATCCAGGTATACTTTCGTCATGAACATCACTACTTTGCTTCGTGTACCAGGATTGCTCCCTTCTGACCTCTGTGCTGCAACTTAGAGTTAGAGTTGTCCTATAAACCGAACACATCACTTAGAAAACTACATTCTATGTCCTATCTCATTTATTAGCAATATTATACACTTATGAGGCTTGTTCAGAAGAAAATATAAGAGCTAATTGCAGTCAACCCTCTTTTGGTGGTGTGCGCATTATATTCACGGTAGGTCTTGAATACAAGGCATTCAAACCCACTGACACTGTGATGTAAAAGAGCTGCATGTGAAGGGCAGTCTAATGTTTAAAGTGAATCATCTTTTTCTCTCTGTAGCATGAAGCAGCTGGAACAAAATATCTCTTCCATGTGATCCTAGGCCAAAGCATATGCTGGAATCTTGAGCCTTTCCTTCGCTCCTGTCCCTTAAAAGATCCTCTTCAGGTATGGGCATGGTGTATATCTTAGACATATTATATACTCAGGAGAGTTTACAATAATTTTAGTTTGTGAAAGTACATGTAAGATCATGCATACAAATGTTCAGGTGTGTAAATACATTAAAGGTGTGTGTGTGTGTGTGTGTTTGTACTTGTGCACATGCATATATGTATACTGGGTTATTGGGGTGTTTTTACTCATACTAGGGCAAATTTGTAAAGGTGCATATGTGACACAGTAGTGTTTCAAGAAGTGAATGAATTTGTATGTGTGAAGAGAGTGTGGTTATATGTGAATGCAGGTGAGGATTATTATAAGTGTATATATAGCATAGGGGCCTGATATATATGTGCATTAAAATTCTGAGTTGCTTTCTGGGTCAAAGTGTAAATTAGGTACTCGGAGAATATCCTGAATGCTTTGGTTATGTTTCCTCTTGGATAGGACTGGACAGCCTCAGGTTCCCTTTATGAGAAATGTTCTTTCTCATACTTTCTCATACAATCCCAAACTGAGCTCCTGTTCAGATCACCCTGAAATGAAGGTAGCCCTTCAGTGCTTCTCCTTGTAACAAATGCAAAGATTTCCTGTAAAATAACTGTTCTTGAGATAGAGTGGTTCTGTATATCATTTCAATTCTTCATCATGCTGCCATTCACTGCCAGGTAGTCTTCAAGACTTTCTGTGTACCCAGCCCCATATTCATCATTGTTGTCCCTGGTCAGCAATGATGTGGAGGAGGTACAGTTTATTGAATCAGTCCATCTTTTGTGACCTCTAAAATCCATACATGAGTAATAAGCCACTCCTTAAAGGGCCATTTTGACAAGGAGATATGAAATCCTGTGAGCCTACAATGTTCACCTATGCCTTATGATAGATGGATATCATTGGGTTGGAGATTAGCAGACTCCACTGATTCAGGTGCAGTGTCATTGGATATGGTAGAGGTCTTGAGTTATGTCTTACTGCATCATTCAAACTCCAATCTGGTACTTCTGAATGCCAATTTTCCTCTTAGTGTTAATCAGCACTAATTAGCCTACTCTCTTCTTTTGCAGCGAAAAACCTGCCATTTTGAGGTTTATGTTGAGCAATTGAAGAACCAGATGTCCCTGACAAGTTCCAAATGTAACAACATGTAAGTTCCCGTCAAACAGTGCTGTGTAGCTCTCACACCTTTCTGACAGTGACTCATCATTCTCAGAGATGATCTTGTATTCTGGGTGTATTTCAAATTACCTGCACCAAGTTTCACCGTAGATTAGGCTGCTAGGGCTAGGCTCTCATAACCCAGCACTGCCCATTGTTCTTTTCAATTTCCTATGCAAATGGTCCTTTCCAGTATTCCCTCATATTTCTTCATTCATTGCTCATCAAAAAGCCTCACAAGCTCCTGGTAAGTGGCCCCTATCTCAGGATGTGTAGAATGAGGGGATGGGAAACTTATTATTGGGAGCTAACATACACATATGAAATCAGTACATGGCCTGATGTCATTGGATTATTGAAAATTCAAATAAAATTAAATAAAGGAAGGGAATGGAAGTCAATTATACAGGCACAGTGGCCATTTGCCAAGGGATGAGGGAAAAGGGAGCAATATTGCTGCAACTGAACCTAAGTTGCTCTCATAAAACAGATTTAGGTATTAAGGTATATGACATAGCTACCAAGAATAGAGATGATCCACCCTCAAAAGCACAAGTTACCTAATGAAATTAGCCTCATTCTCTGCCCAGATTTAGAAATAATTCATATATGATGAGAAATGGATTTTATTTCTATCAGGAAAATGTTTAAATACCTTTAAAGTCAGAGAGTAAAAGTGTGTATTTATTTTGTGCAAGTGCATTTATGTGAATTATTTATTAGGAGAATACTAACAAGACTACAACAAAGGGTAAAATGATCCAGAGCCTTACAAAAGTCGTACAAAACCATATAATCCTTGCTGGTCTTAACTAATTTCACCTTTTCTTAAAAGTAGGAAAGATCTCTGTACACATCACATAACAGGGCACTTTTGTGTATGTGCACTGTTAACAAAAGCAACCTTTGGGCATGTTTGATTACTTTTCCAGACATGGTTAGAAAATGAGAGCGTGAAGTAGTATGAAGTCCTGTTGGTCTAGATTTTAACGTTCTTCCAAGATTGACCATGAGGATATTTACCCTTTGAGGAATATCCTTGTTGCTTCTTTTCATTGTTGATAATACATTAATCTGGGGAGAATGAAACCCACAGCTTAGTGTTCAGATATATTTTAAGATTTATCTTGCTCAAAGTCAGAAGGAAGTCCCTAGATAATTACTAAAGTTTCACTTTTATAGGGAAGAGACAACATTTCTCTAAAGTTGTCACTAGAGATGCTCCAAGATTCCCATGCAAACAGAATGAAGGTTCCTCTGACAACTTTGTAATGCTATTAAAAGAAAAAAAAGGCATGTGTGAAGCATAGCTGGTAATCTGAATTGAACCTTGAACAAATATTACAATCAGTCAAGCAAAACACTAATTTGTTATGTCACTCTGGATTCTGATCTGAGAAATGTGTCCTTAAGAGACTTTACTGCTGAACTTCATCAAACATATTTGCCCTCAGATACAGGGAACATCAGAGGACTTTATCATTCTGGGGAATCAATTAGTACTTTAGGTCCATGTCAGGGTGAACGCCATAAATCTGGACACAGCTGGATAGATCCTTATTTAACACAAAGATTTTCAAAAGTAAGCAAAGGCTGAGCAGAAAAACAGGAGATCATCAGGATAAAAGTCATTTCTAAGAGAGGTGAATGGTGAACACGTAGAACCTGAATGTAATTGTGCATGACATAATCTGTATGGACAACTGATACCTGATTTTCAAAGGTAATTATAGGAATGTAGAAAAGGGGTTTTAAAATATCTTTGTTGGGGAACTGGAAAGGTACACTAATGTGTTTCTTAGCAACAGTTTTAGACAAAAAAATGACATTTATAGACCCTCAGGAGAAAGAGAGGTTCGCAGCAGAAATGGCCATAGGTTCTACTGAAATAAAGTGTGAATGACTGAGAGGTAAGGCTGTGTGCTACTGCTCCAGATGCTTCTAAAGTAAACCCACAGTCAGTGTAAGAACTAAATGAATTCCACGACAGAGACCGTGCACTTAAAGCTTCTTGTAGTTGGTTTGTACTTCTCAGTTGTCTCTTAGAGGGCTCTTTACCCTGCTGCTCAGCCCTGAGAGGCTGTTGATACAGTGTCCATGCTGGAAGACACTGATTTGGATCTACTGTCAGGGACTGACTGCGAAGATTTTGAAGGACTTGAAATGATCACATCTGTAGGTTGGCCTGTTTTAGCACCCCGAGGATGAAAGCTTCCAAATAGTATGATATGATGGTAACACTCACCAATGGGAATTCTGTATTAGTGTCTGTCAGTATCATTTTAAGGTTCATGTGAGAGCTAGAGTGAGGGTTTTCAACAGGGGCAGTGCGGACATGGAGCAGGCAAGTCATGGGCTTCTTAGACTTGGACTTGGATCCAAGGCTGGATATGTAGCTGAAGTGAGTGTGGCGTAGACAATGAAAACAACCTGGGATTCTGGTGACCTTTTATTTTTCTCTCTTAACTTGTATAGGGTATTTTACAGCCTCCTACTCAATGCTTCCTTGCCCGTCCTTTTACTGTTGCTCGCCTCTATACTTCTTTCTGCTTCGCACTACTCTTGCTTGCCCTCATAACTGGGTCATCCTCTGCATCTTCCACACCACAGGCATCTTCATCCTACTTCTTCATCTCTTCTGCATTTTCTCTGCTTGTTCACTCTCTAATATATTTCAGTTATTTCTGCACTGTAACTTACTTCCCAGATTCTACTCAATTTCTGAACTCACAGGTTGCTCATCTTGGGCAAAGTCCTATAACTTTCAAGTTGAACTCATAATGTCCTCCTAACTCTTTTGTTTTAGTGATCCAAAGAAACCGTCTGAATCCTGCATAAACCCAGTCTTTGGTTAGAGGATCCATGAATATCCAACCCTACCCTTTCTGAAGGAACGTCTTTGGGAAACTTACTGAAATAAATTTTATTATTGCAAATGTAAAGTTGTTTTCATTCTATGACACATTATCACTAATCTCTACATGTTGGGGAATAATCCTGAATATTTCTGGGATGAGGGATGGGATACTACAGAAATTCTCAAAACCCAATACATCCACTTTCTATTTTTATTAGTAGACGATTAGAAATAGGTGATATGACACTATTCATGAAGACACTATACACTTGCATTCATGATTTAGAAAAATAACTACATAACTTATTTGGAAGTGTCTTCTATTCCATATAGTGTTCAGTACTACAACAACCACTGTAACTTGGATTGAGTTTGGCATGCCATATTTGTCATGGGTGTCATGTCTGTCACATGTGTCATATTGTTAGTGCATGCCATATTTGTCCTGTGATTGTCATGTGTGCCATATTTGTCATGTGTCGTGCTTTGCCTTGCGTGTGTCATGTTTGTCATGGGTGTCGTGTTTGTCATGTGTTTGCCGTGTGTGACATATTTGTCACATGTGTCATATTTGTCATGTGTTTGTCATGCCTCTCATGTTTGGCATGCGTATGGCATGTCGTGTTTGTCGTGGGTGTCATATTTGTCGTGTGTTTGTCATGTTGTCGTATTTGTCATGTGTGTTTTTGTCATGCATTTGCCGTGACATGTTATTTGTCGTGCATGTCATGCTTGCCATACATGTTGTGTTTGAAATGTGTTTGGTGTGTCATGTTTGTCATGTGTGTCTTATCAGTCATGTGCTTTGTCATGTATGTCGTGTCATTGTGTGTCGTTTTTGCCTTGCATGTTATATTTGTCATGTGTTTGCCATGCATGTCATATATCTCATGTGTGTCATGTATTTGTGTGTGTGTATGTAACTGAAGACAGCAAGGTGCTGGAAGGGAACCCTAGAGACTCACCCTAGGCTTACCAGCTGAATTGGCAGAACCAGAACTGGTTCTGCAATTTTACCGCAGGTCTCTAGCTCTCCTGGATGCTCCTGATCTTCTAAGTGGCTGTCATTACTCAAGAATTAAGTATACTCTGGAATATGAGAACATGATATTCAAATAAAGACAGAAAACAGCATAAGTTCTATTTAGGCTGATCCTATCGCATTGTTTGTCTTACCAGATAATAAGCAGTCAAATCTCATTTCTCCATTCCCCCCTAAGCAAAGACTAGAAAGGAAAGTCCGTGGCTGGAATTGCATCTCTAGATGCTGGTTTCAGGTTTTATGAAGATTTATTGTGAGTGAGGTATTATAGTGGGTAATAAAACTAACTTCACTGACTATTGCAACGTTGGGAAGTATTTCAAAAATAATGGCTGCTATGTATTTTAATTAGTGTGATGGGCACATCTAAAATGCAGATGTAGCGGTTTATTTTTCTACCCCATATTCTCTTAAACATGATTATGGGAAAGACAGTTCCAAATGAGAATGGTTACGTATAATAGATGGTTTCAAACTTGACATTATCTGGTTGAAATCAGCCAGCAGTCAGTCCCAGATAACCCATCCTGCTGATTCTTCTGTGATGTTTCTGTGTCAGTGAAACACCCTTGGGCCCTCTTGCTCGTATGATGCTTGTTAGATGTTTGTCATTGCTTTGACTCCAGACAATGTCTTGCTAAGTACCCTAGACTGCTCTTGAGCTTGAGATATTCTTGTCTCCACCTCCAGATGCTGATGCTGGGTGTATAGTGTGAGCTTCCATGCCGGGCTTTCTTTACTAATTTCCTATTCAAGCAACTTATAGTTTGTAGATCACACATAAGGATCACACTCTGTGTGTGTGTGTGTGTGTGTGTGTGTGTGTGTGTGTGTTTATTCATATCCTCAAATTTATTCATCCAATCCTTTCATTTTTTGAAACAAAAACGCACAGTAAGGTATCTCCTAATACCATCTTGGCTCACTTAATAATAATCAAATAAAAATTATTTCTTTCATGCGAAATTATTTAATTAGCTACCCTAATGATTGAAGTATTAAATGTGGCTTGTTTGGCAAAACAGACGCCACCAATTTTCTCCCATCTTTGAAAGCACCCACCATTGCTCCCACATGAGGTAGAGCCCAGTTAG